CACGCTCTCAGCCCCACTGCAGCAACTTCTCCATCGACCGCAGCACGGTCATCGCTCTGGGGGGGAGCCAGCAGATCGTGCCCCCGGCAGAGAGCCCCCACCTGCAGGCCCCGCCCTGGAACCCCGTTCCCGCGGAGCAGCGTCCAGACAGCAGGTACCAGGCGCTGCGCCGCGTCCGTCGGGCCGCAGCGGCCTCTGGCTGACGTGCCCGCTCCCCCCCCCCCCCCCCCCACAGTGACCGCGCCGGGGAGGAGTTTCTGCGGTGCATCGCAGCCAACAAGCCCCTCCCGGACTACCTCAAAGGCAACATGGCCTTCAACCTGGCCGACGCCTTCAAGTCCGCTAGCGTCCTGAAGGAGGCCGTCAAGTTAGATCCTCAGTTCCAGAAGAAAAGGACCAGGTCCCGGAGCCGTAGCCGGGGCCGGAGCAGGGGGCGGAGCCGTAGCAGGGGCCGGTCAAGAGCTAAAAGCAGAGCCGTTAGCCGGAGCAGAGGTCGGGAAAAGAGCCGCGCTCGGGACAAGAGTGGCGCCAGAAGCAAAAGCAAAGGGCGCAGCAAGAGCCGGGCGAGGAGCCGGAGCAGGAGGTCCAGATCCCCGGGCAGCAGCAGCGAACGGAGCCACGGCAGAGGCGGGCAGAGGAAGAGGAGCCCCGCCCACCGGGACGGCAGGGCCCCCCCCCGAGGGGACGCCCTGCTGGAGGGGCTGAAGCTGGTCATGAACAGCAAGGACCTGGAGGGCAGGCTGTCCACTCTGAAGGAGGCCATCCTCAACATCCAGGTAGGTTCCTCTAAAGCTCAATACGTCGATCGCAATCTACCAGTCGATCTCCAAGATCCTATCGGTAGATCACATGACCAGGTGAGGTGACGTTGTCATGAACTGACGCTATACAAATAAAGCTGAGTGGTTTTGAATAAAAACTAGTCACCATCTCGTCACTTGACTGATACACAGGACAACCAGTCAGATGACATCTGATTTTTGTCTGTACAATTCGGTCACTGTGCGCAGCTAAGCTAACAAGCTAGTCGTTAGCTATATCCTAATTTTTCGCTTGTTTTTTTCCTCTTAAACGTAAGATAGGTTATGAAAATGAGTGGGGGAGCTGGACCAAGTAACATGGATCCAAGTAAAATGTACATAATTATATTGTGTTGTGCAACATATGTGGTTATACATCAACATAAGTTGTAAGAATCCTCAATATGTTTCTCAATAAATACAATGGGTAGATCATTTTCACACTTAGGGGTTCATCACTGCTGATGATGGGCACATATCAAAGTTAAGGGAGATGATTTTAAATCAAGAAATGATTCAGTTTCCTCCACGACTGAAGTCAAAGGGGGTTCAGTGGGTAGAGGAGGAGTTTCTGGAATATGGTGTGACATTTAGGGGTTGTCAAAAGTATCGATACTAAAATGTTGTATCCGGATACGATACTCGTTTTAAAAAGTATCGATACCACCGCCCCTACGTTTTGATTACGTCACCAATAGGAAGATCCCAGGCAAGAAAATGGTATTAATGGTATTATGTATTACAGGGAATGGTATTAATTTAAAAATAGTGAAATTAATCTTTGAAACACTCCATCCATAATATTATGTTAAAATAGTGGATGTTAAATAGGTGTGTACAATAAGTCCAAACAAGTTTAACCAAAAAATATTTATTTCTCACAATTATGAAGGGTGGAGGGTCAGGGTTAGGGTTAGGGTCAGGGCTACGGTCAGGGTCAGGGTTAGGATTAGGGTTAGGGCAAGGGTCAGGGTCAAAGTTAGGGCTAGGGTCAGGGTTAGGGTTGGGGTTAGGATTAGGGTCAGGGTCAGGGTTAGCATTAGGGTTAGGGTCATTAATGTGGGCCACCATAACATCAATAACAGGTTAGTTTGACACTAACCTGTCAAAATTCAGTTAAATTTTGGGGGTCTTTGTTTTTCTACTTGTGGTAGTATAATGTTAGTATCGTGACAACCCTAGTGAATAGTGTTGTCACGATACAAAAATTTTCAACTCAATACCGATACTCAGGAAAATGCTCGATACTCGATACCGTTTTCGATACCACAAGGATAAAAACAAAGACCCCAAAATTTAACTGAATTGTGTCTTTCATTTCAAACTGACCTGTTACTGATGTTATCGGGACTGGTGGCCCACATTAATGACCCTAATCCTAACCCTCCAGCCTTCATAATAGTGAGAAATAAATATTTTTGGGTTAAACTTGTTTGGACTTCTTCTACAAACCTATTTAACATCCACTATTTTAACATAATATTATGGATAGAGTTTAATTAAGTGTTTGCAAGATTCATTTCACTATTTTTAAATTAATGTCTATATTGCCATGAAGCAATTAAGATTTTCTTGCCTGGGATCTTCCTATTGGTGACCTAATCAAAATGGCTGACTTGGATGTGGGCGGAGTTGGATATGTACTTGATTAAGGGTAGCATGTTATTATTAGCCATTAGCCGCAGCTAGCAAGGCTAACGTCTTGTTAATGATCATAAACAACGTAAATAAATACATAAATAAATCAGAGAGAAGGGGGGTGGTATCGATACTTTTGAAAATGAGTATCGTATCCGGATACAACATCTTAGTATCGATAATTTTTCGAGTATCGATACTTTTGACAACCCTAGTGACATTGTTCTGTGATGAAGCTGCATGTTGTGCTGCATCCCAGGCCTCCGGTGACAGCAGGAGGGGGGGGCGTGAGGCCGGGAATCCCGACATCCCGGACGCGTCGGCATCTCAGGAGAACGAGCGCGTGCTGCTCCCCCACGAACGCGTCAGCCACGACTTCTTCTGGCTGAGAAGAGAGGAGAAAAGCCCCGAGGCCCAGAGGGCCGAGCCGCCGCAGGACGAGGAGTCCTTCCTGTACGGGGCGCAGGCCGCGGCCTCTGGGGGGGGGCAGCAGGCCGACTCCTCCCTGCTCAGGAGCCTGCACCGGCTTCTGGATCTTCAGAGGGACGGGAACCCCCCCGGGCCGGATCCAGACGCAGCAGACGCGGGCGTCCGCAGGCTGAAGGCCGAGCCCCCCCCTCAAGGCCTCAGCCCGGCCTCGGCGCTCTCATCCCTGCACGACCCCGACGTCCGCAAGGCCCTGGAGTCCCTGCAGGGCCTCATCAAAGGTAGACGGAGCTCTGACCCCCCCGTCAGCACACACTAGGGGTGGGACGCTTCACAAAATCCACGGTTCGGTTTCGATTCGCGGTTTCGTGGTCACGGTTTTCGGTTCGGTATATGTTGATTAGGGATGGGACGGTTTGTGAAAACCGTCCGAACCGTTGGGTTGGACTGTCTCGGTTGGGTTGGCGTGTGTTGCGTTCAGTTCATGCTGCTCCTTTTTCTCAGAGGGAAGCGTTTACGCTCCAGAGCAGAAGGGGGCGCTACTGCGCCCAAAGCCAACCACCAGTAGGAAACAAGAAGAAGAAGAAGCAGCGTAGCCGATAAAAATCAGACCGCCAGCAGCAGTTTCTAGGTCTGCTGTATGGACCACTTTGCATTTAGAGGGAAGCACATGTTGGAATTAGCACTGTTTCCTCTCTGGCAGAATCTCACCTACTTTTAACCTCAGACTGTCACAATAATGGATCAAATGTCAGACTGCTTTTTTCTTTCAGTTTTAACCTGACTATACAAGACATAATAGATTTTCCTAACAATCAACATTAGGGGTGGGACGGTTCACGAAATCCACGGTTCGCTTCGATTCACGGTTTCGTGGTCGCGGTTTTCGGTTCGGTTGGGTATATGTTGATTGTTAGGAAAATCTATTATGTCTTGTATAGTCAGGTTAAAACTGAAAGAAAAAAGCAGTCTGAAATTTGATCCATTATTGTGACAGTCTGAGGTTAAAAGTAGGTGAGATTCTGGCATTGCCAGAGAGGAAACAGTGCTAATTCCAACATGTGCTTCCCTCTAAATGCAAAGTGGTCCATACAGCAGACCTATAAACTGCTGTTGGCGGTCTGATTTTTATGGGCTACGCTGCTTCTTCTTCTTCTTGTTTTCTACTGGTGGTTGGCTTTGGGCGCAGTAGCGCCCCCTTCTGCTCTGGAGTGTAAACGCTTCCCTCTGAGAAAAAGGAGCAGCAGGAACCGAACAAACACACGCCAACCGAACCGAGACAGTCCAACCCAACGGTTCAGACTGTTTTCAGAAACCGTCCCATCCCTACCACACACACTCTGCTCGTTGGATCTAAGCATGAGCTCAACAGGCTGAGCTTATGGCGGTTGTCAGGTTCCAGGACCGCCTACATTTACTTTAATATTTACACATTATTTTAGTAGTTATAAACTATTTTACGTTTTTAAAAGCCCTCCCCACACACTGCTTTTCTAAATAACACTTTCCCACTGAACCTGCTTCTTTTAAAACACGCCTTAAATGGTTTAGTTGTCTTTCTTTTTTCTTTCTTTTTCTGTTTAAAGGATCTCTCTCCTTTCCACCGCTCCTCTTTCTCTGTCAGGTTTGACATATTGGACACATGGAAGTTTGGTAACCATAATGCTGAACAGGACAAGGGAGAAAAATGTTTAAAAAATGCCTTAAATGTTCATTTAGCTTCTCTGGTTGGTGGCTTCCTCCAGTCGACCAATCAGATGCTGTGTACGTTGACCAGTAGCATCTCTATGTGTTCATACTTAGGTTTATGGTTATTTACTCACTACTGGACTGGATTCTTTAGTTTTAGAGTCAAATATTTGTAATATATTTGTAACATTTTGTGACGTTTAATGCAAAACTCATCAAATACACACATCACTGTTCATAAGCAGGTTTATGGTTATTTACTCACTACTGGACTGGATTCTTTAGTTTTAGAGTCAAATATTTGTAATATATTTGTAATATTTGTGATGTTGAATGCAAAACTCATCAAATACACACATCACTCTTCAACTCGCGCTACACATGTGTGCGGCCAAAAACGGTACAATAGCCCAAATATTTGACATGAATATTTATTGAAATACCATGTATTCCCACTCACACGTTTTGCCAGAAAACAGGACGATAATTTCTGTGTTCTTGGCCATTTGTCAGAGTTTGAGAAAAGGATTTTCTTGGTCGGTGTGTTCCGTTTTTACCAACTTCATAGGAATCCAGGTCTTCCTCTTAAGTGTTTTATGACAGCTTCTCCCCTGGAAACGTGCCTTTTGTCCTGTCAATGGAAAAACGAGTCTGTTTTGTCTGTTTTTTTTTCCGTAGCAACGAAAGAGAAGCGGGTCAAATCTGAAGAGGATCAGACCGGGTGTGATAAGCAGCAGGTAGGTGACCCTTGGGTCAGTGACCAAAGCGGGCACAAACCACACGTCGTTCTCAGGTGGCCCTGCAAACTGTTTTTCAGGAGGATGAGAGCGAAAAGAGGAAGAGAGACAAGCAGGCCAAACTGAGCCAGATGGGAAGACTGGCCGAAGAGTTGGAGGAGCTGCTGAGGCTGGACGGTAGGGCGGTCATCCTCCTGTTAACTCTGCAGGCCTTCTCTCAGACCCTGAGGCTCCTCACATCTGTGTGCAGGCCTGAGCTTCCTGTCCCCGGTGGTGGGCTTCTACTGTCAGCCCTGCGAGGAGTTCATCGGCGATCTGAGTTCGGCCGAGCAGCACGCCGCCGCCGCCCACAGAACCGTGAGTCCCTGCCCGGGGGGGGGGGCAGTGTGGAGCCCAGCCTCAGCCACTACGAACGAGCAGAGTTCATGTTTTCACTGAGATTTCCGACCATTTTAACTCATCGACTGGCAGCCATTTTCAGAACAGAGTCCCACACTGCCAGAGTTTTTTCCAGCATTTTGACTGATTTTTCAAGAGCCACAGAATAGTTTGTGCTATGACTATGCAAACACCGAACACACCAAAAGAAAGAGTAGACTCTTTTCTTTCATCAGGAAAAAAAATGTGTTTCTACCTTGTTCCGTTCTTCCTGGACTTGCGTCTCACCGGCGACATGTTCTCTCATAGAACCGTTCCCTTTTTCATATTTGCCTACAGTCTATGCTCATCTCCCATCAAAAGTGGCACTGCCACCTAGAGGGTCAATTTGTTACTACATACTCTGTCTAGAAGCCTGATATTTACGGACAAGCTTTAGCAGATCGTCCCCCAGACACTCTCGTTGAAAAACATAAAAGACGTCTATAGACGTCTTTGGCAGCCAATGAGTTAAAGACCATGAAGAGTCCTCTGCACACGTTAAGTGGAGCATTCACTAATGAGGTGTAAAGACCAGCATGCCCACCCCTCATTAAAGCCACTGTGGAGAAAAGTCTGCCCCATCAGGCCCCCGTCAGTGGATTCTGTAGAATACAAAAGTTGAATCTAATTAATCACAAGGTTTCTTGAATTAATTTGGATTAATCACAATCCTAAATCGAAAAAATTCCCATTTTCTGTGAACTGTTTTCAGAACAGAAGTGGACATTCCATTTAGTTTTTATTCATGACAAATCCCCCAAAATAATATTATTATCAACAATGTTGGCAACTGAGCCAT